AGCTAAGTGGGAAGGAGCTAAAGGTAGAGAAATGAAAATACCGGGTATAAACTTTATTATAGAAGAAAAAGATAGACATAGAAATGGAGTAGGAATAATAGTAGACTCATATCTTAAACAAGAAGTGGTAACATTTCTTAGGAAAGGAGATAGAATAATATTAATTAAACTTGTAATAGAGGGAAGTATAATTAATCTTATTGGTCCATTTGCACCTTTTATAGGATTAGGTGAACACATTATGTTGAAATATAAATAGTTAAGTTATACCCTTTCGAACAATTTAAGCTTTTGAAGTAGATGGTTGTTTAACATGATATCAGAGCAAGAGGTCCTGTGTTTGAATCTCGTCGTCACCCTAATTATGAAAATATTTTTGCCTGCGAGGTCGAAAATCTAGCCTATACGTTAAGGGGGTGTTGAAAATAAATTCTTTAAGTTACACTATCTCTCACAATTTGAGGTTATGGAATAGATGATGTTTAATACATTAAAATTCATTTTGGTAGGATACTAATGAATTAATGAAAGTAATATCTATAGGAGAAAGAATATGCATAGGAGGATACTTTAATAGCCACATAACGATTGGATTGGATATGAGAGGGTACATGGATTTGGAGATAGGAATGATGTTGGAGATTCTGTTTTAAATTTTGCTATATCATAATAACTTTTAAAAGTGGATTACATAAAAGTTAAAACAGATTTTTTTTCCCAAGTAGAGGAGGAGATTGTAGATCATGTAAGGACTACAAAGTCATTCCAAGCAAGAGCTTAATCACAAAATATTGGACAATGGTACTAGACATAAATATTAAAATCCAAAAACTAGAAAGGTGAAAAGATATATTTGTTTAAGAATAAAATACTAAAAGTAGTTTGAAATTTAGAAGATGAAATAAATATAATGTAAAATACAATAGTAGAACATATTAAAAAAATAGCTATTGAAGTTCTTGGAGAATCAAGGGGTAATGCACTTTTATCAAAGAGAAATTTGACGGGGGAATGATGAGGTTCAAATCGCTGTAAAAGCAAAAAGAGTGCTATAACACATGGCAAAAAAGTAAAAATGAAGAAATATTTAAAAGTTACAAGCTTACAAATAAAAAAGTAAAAAAACGGGTAAAAGAGGCTAATTACAAAGCATATGATGATATTTATTCTAAACTAGATACAAAGGATGGGGATAAAAATATATAGACTTGCTAAATTAAAAAGAAACATTAGAGATATTAGTCGTATTAAATGTGTTATGAGTGAAGACTCTATTGTTTTGGTACAAAACGAGGAAATTAAAGGAAGGCAAGAGAATTTCTTTGAGAAATTACTAAATGAAAATCATTTAAGTAGCTTAGACATTGAGGACAACAGAAATCCTAGGGAGCTTCGACACCTAGTCCTTTGCTCTAATTAGCTGAGCTACTTGAACCATTTTCCTAAAGTCTTGTTTTCTTCATCGAATTGCGCCCTTTCTTACCACTTTACTAGTAGGAAAAAACCCTTGACTAAAAAGGAAAATAGAATATATAGGCTTTTTTCGCTTGTTTGTCAAGCTTTCAAGTAGCTCTTTCAGCTATTGTCTAATACCCCAACATGCTCAAGAACCGAGAACTATTTAGGAATTGGATTTTTTTTTTTTGGAGGGGGGGGGGGGGTGAGGGGAGCTTACTTATAGAAAGAAGATAGGCCGGTTGAATAAAAACAATGCGCAACAGACTTTTCGCTTCTAGTCACTAAGTAATGCTTTTATATCTTCCGGGGACTGGACTCCACCAAGAGGTTCTTTCTCTCGTGTAATTTCACTCGCCCCGTTCATCTGTGCCAGAGAAAATGGGATTCAAAGCCATGGTACAGTCTTCTTAAATGTCAATTTAGCAAACTAATGCCTTAAGCCACTCAACTATACCTCCAAGTTGTTGATTGAAATGAAATTTGATGTACCGAATTTGGTTGGCTGCCCAAAGGGCTATTTGATCCGATTAATTGTGTAAGTTGTAGCGCGCTTGTATGCATACTCTTCCTGTATGAGCGAGACTCCATCAAAATCTGCCACTCGTTGGGCGATACCTTCTTTTCTATGAATATTCCACCATTGAATGATGAACTTTGCCAGTTTTCGCCACTGACCCGACTAAGAGAGAACAAATGGTCAAACCAACCTTTATCTAACTTGTCAGAATTGAATTCATTTCTCCTACATCTAGTCGAGAAGGGAGAAGAATGATGAACTTTTCCAATTTTCACCTCCGACCCGACCAATGGTCAAATCAAGCCCTTATCTTACTCGTCTAAATTGAATTCATTTTTTCTACATATGGTCGAGGAGGGAGAAAGCCAGGGAACTGGACTGTGACTCTTCTATTACATTATGGAGAAGTCCATTCTTGTTAATAAGCTAGCTTTATTAATGTGACGGACTTTTTCATTGATTGCACAAGCTAGCCAACAAACACCCCTTACCCTTTAATCTATAAAAAAAAATCCCTTTTTTTTTTTTTATAATAATAAAGTAAGCTTTCAAGCCCCATTATTTATTATATTAATAAAGCACTAGAGTGCCCTTTGTATATAAATGTAAGGCCTTAGTTTCCTAATCTTACTAATAAAAGGGATGTAGTTCTTTTTGTTTTTTTGCTTTTTGGTGTAGTAAAGAGTTGTTTGGAATAAAAGCCTTGTCTCTCCCTTTTTACTAGGAGAGAAAGCTCCACGAGCTTCCTCTTTGTTCTATAGAAATGGATGGAAAGCCAAACGTAAATGCTGGATTAGAGAAAGACCTCCTTGCTCTCTGAATAACTGGCTTTAGCAATTCCACTTTCCATCACTTATAATATAGAGCTTGTGGAAAGAGTAGTTGAAGAAGCCAAAACAAGAGAGAGAAACAAGTTCCACTTATTTCTTTATTATCACAGCATCAATATAAACACGAGAAAACCTTAATATATCTGAAGAATAGCTAAATTAGTGTTTTTATAGTTTAATTCTACTACTTGACCAATTATATTTACAAAAACTTTTACTTATAATTTATGATTTGTATACCCTAAAATTTTTTGTACATAAATTAGGCTCACTATTTGATTTATATTTAGTTTTTTAAACCAATTTCCTACCATATCATTGGTACTATTTTAACTAGCACTAATATTACTTAGATTATTATTTGATGTTTTATCTATATGTAAAACATGAATAAAATTGTCTTCTAATTTTTTTTAGATTTGAAGCTATACATTTAATATGTTGGTAGGCTTTGATGAGACCTAAAACCTCCAGATATGGTGAAGTTGCATTGCATGTGCATAAAACCTAGTTCCCTAAATAACCAACAATGACAAATTTTATCCTGGTCAACAACGGGATATGAACTTTGCAACAATAATATAGTTGAAATCTCAAAGTGTTGTGTTTTAGGGTTCATAATGAAGAAGAGGCAAGAAAAGAGAATAGAAGAGAAGATGTAAGAAAATTAGGGTTAAGGGGAGTAAGAGATTACCAATCTCCTCACTCATATTTATATTAATCTCATAATAAGCTGCAAATTACAATTGTACCATTATGAAAGTTGAAATTTATTATAATAATGCTTTATAGAAAGATAAAACTTACATATAATACTCAAAAACTATAAACAACCTTCTTTTGTTACCACTTCCAGAACACAGAGACATTATACAAGACTTTTTATAAAGAAAAAGGTTGCCAAGAAAATGTTCAAAAAACCTATTCAAGGTTAGATGGTAGAGACGTAAGGAAGAGTTGGAGATGGAGTTTTGACAAACTTGTGTCTAATTATGTGGAGATAGTCTTGCTTTAAAGGAAGGTTACTTACAAAAGACAAAAAGACTATGTCTCTCTTATTTCTAACTTCTCTATTCTTTGGCTTCTCATGGCAACCATGTACTTGTCTAGTACACAAGTGTCAAGAGACTTTATGTATGGCTATTTGTTTATAACCATTATTTGATACTTGTTTGTGATTTTTGGATACAGATACTACTACTTTAGATAATCGGCTCTTCCAAAGTAGTTACAATACAACTTTGCTGGTTGCAAATTGTATAGGTTCACTGCGTTTTTGCAATAATGTTGGTGTTGGCATCACTACTTATCCATCGACACAATTGTATTTTCCAAATTGTGATAGTAGACACTACCTTCACTTGCACCTGATACATTATCTTGGTTATAAAGACCCTGATTGAAAATATCTTTTCTTATTTTATCAGTGTACATATGAAAATCAAACGGTTAATTGAGTTGATCTCATTTAATTATGTCTTGTAGCAACTTTTTCGTGGAGTCATATTGTTCTTGACTCTATTGATAGGTGTTATGTTATGTGTTATTTTTAGATAAAAGGTAATTTTGTACTTTGTGATTATTTTCTCTTCTATTTTATTTCTTCCCTTTTCTTCTCACAAACCCAAATTACTTCGTAATTCAACTTGGTATCAAAGTATCGATCCAAATTTAAAGTCGAAGAGTTGTCAAAAATCGTTGAAATTTATCAGACCTAAATGGTGATCTGGTAGACGTCAACAATCGCCCGTGTTAGAATTTTTTAAAATTTTCATAGGAGACCCAAATTTGTGTCTTGAGATTTATGGTGATTCTTTTGAAGCCATCTGGTGCACCTTTTGATTTTTCAAAGGAGAAACCCCTCATTTTCTAACTATTCCAGCTCCTTTTTTTGCTTGATGGGTGCGAAAATAGTGGATCTAAAACACCCATGAAGGTTCGTTGAAGTTAGATTAGATTTAGCGCATTTTTGGGCCATTTTTGAGGTTGACAACAGTGTTTTTTCGCCCCTGTTCATATTCGGCTACTGTGTGGCTTTGATCCTTGTTGTTTTTGGCTTCGATCTTCCTGGGTGGGGTGCGGATGGGTCTGCATGCCCATGAAGTTTTGTTGAAGTTGGATAAAGTTTGGGATGATTTTGGGCCAGACTTGAGGGTCGACAACCTTTTTTTTTGGCTTCTGTTGAAGTTGATCAGTTGTTTCAAGGCTGGTTTTGGTTTTTTGGCTATTGGATTGCTGGGTTTTGGCTGCTGGATTGCTGTTGCTTTCTGGTTTTTCTCCTACAGCCTGCTGGATTTCTGGAGCTGTATTTTTTCTATCAGGAGATAACTTGTGAGATTTTTGGCTTGGTCTTACTGTTGGCAGCACCATCTTCTAGTAATGCTAAATCATATTTGTTGCATTTGGATTGATTTGAAGCATTTTTTTTGGGCATTTTTGATTGTCAGCAGTAGCTATTTGATTTGTTCAGTGAGTTGGTTGTCTTCAATTTGTTTAATAGAGGATACTTTACCTTGTTGCACCTATGGGTGTTGTGCTTGTCATATTCAACTATTGTTGGAGTATTTTTATGGTTGTCGTTCTTTTTTTGGGGAGTGATTTCTTGGGATTTATAGGGCATTTTTTGGTGGCTATTGTTTTTTGCTCAATCCTACTCAATGAGGTGCAACTGGAGAAATTTGTTTAAGCTTTAGGTCGAGGCATATTACTTGAGTTGTATTGGCTTACTGGGTTTGTGTAATTTTCGGCGATTATTGGAAATGTTGGCTATTTTGTTGTGAATGTTTGACCGTGTGTTCTCTCCTGGTTTGGTCAGAGGCAAAAACTAGCAAAGTTCATCATTCAGTGGTGGGGTGTTCATAGAAAAGAAGGTATCGCCCAACGAGTGGCAAATTTAGATGGCAATGGGGGAGAAAATATAGCATGTCGCAACAAAAGCTTGATTCGAGGCGTCAACAAAACATTGCCGTTTGTTCTAAAAACAAAAGTTCCTTAGCGCCCCTGGACAGGAGTGGGGGACGACCCTACGTGCAGGCAATAGCAGCACCGGCTCTACGAAATTAAAATCTAATATTTCTGTTAGCATTTGTTCGTGAATAATAATTCAATGGCGTGAAACACATACCAAGAACTTCATTTTGTTGACTCTGCCAAATAGAATAGAACCAGTCTGTTTTCATACTCAAAAGAAGAGTTTGATCCTAGCTCAGAAGGAACGCTAGTTATATGCTTAATTCATGCAAGTCGAACATTGTTTTCAGGGCTGGGCAGAAGGAAGAAAAACCTGCACTAGCGTCGCTGATGATGCAGAACGCTTTTATATAGAGAGGGAGTGTAGCCTCTATTAATTTCACTCAAGATGAGATGCGGATTCTTAGGCGTTTGGTGGCTCGACTTGATATTTCATCTACTACAACTTCTAATCCTACCTATTGTTCTAACTTTGCTTATACATTTATATCTATTAGTGTGATTACTGCGTCGTCCTCATATACTCCTTGGATAATAGATTCTGGAGCCACGGATCAGTTAACAGGTTCTTTTAGCATTTTCTCTTCATATTTTACTTGTTCTCGTAGGGATAAAGTTTGGGTGGCCGATGGATTTTTTTTTCCTATTTCTAGGAAAGGTTCAATTAATTGTTTACTCTCTTATCTCTCTCCTCTATTCTTCATGTTTTCAATTTTTCCACTAATTTATTGTCTGTTTGCAATATTACCAAATCCTTGAATTGTTTAGTGATTTTTTTTCCTACTCATTGAATCTTCCAAGAACTGGAATCAGGAAAAATGATTAGTAATGGTAGAGCACATGGACATTTATGCATTAAGTTGAGGGGGAGTGTTATGTTATGTGTTATTTCTACACTAAGGGTAATTTTGTACTTTGTGATTATATATTTAAGCTGTGTAATTTAACACACTACTCCATTCTCATAATATTTTCTCTTCTCTTCCTCTCTGGTCCTTCTCTTCTCACAAACCCAAATTACTTCGTAATTTAACTATAGGCAATAGGGTATCTATGATGAAAATTCTTCTTCCACCAGTTATTTTTAAAGTATTTTTACATTTTTAAATCATTGCAATTCTATTTAATTCCAAGAGATTGTCCACCTTATAAATTTGAAGGGGTAGTTCTTCTACTAGCTCTTCTTTATTTTGGAGATTTTCGTCATCCTCTGTAAAGTCGTCGTTTGTAGCTTTCTTTACCATCCAAATCTGGGATGGTTAAAGAATTTTTCTTTTTCACGTCACTAGATAGAGTTGTAGACCAAAATGTATAAAAAATACTTGAATACTATCGTGTGGCTAGATGACATATGACAACATGGTCTTGATCAACATAAGGAATTGATGATGCCTTTAGATATACTATTTATCAAAGACTATCTGGTTGACCATTCCCCAATTAGCTCGACATTCCAATATTTAGATTCAAACTGTGGGGTTAATTTTGGAACATTAAATAAATTAATGCCAAGGAGTTCAAGTTTGAATATTGCCTAACGGCATTTAGTTGTAATTCCTTAGGGTTATCTTGAAATATAGCACGTAAGCACACACTAAACATTATATCGGGTCTACTAGCCATCAAATAAAGCAAGCTACAAATCATACCTCTATAAAGCTTAAAATCAACAGCTTTGCCATTTTCATCTTTGTCAAGCTTTAGTAAAGTACTGATGGGAGTCTTTTTAGGATTTTGAGTTTTCCAAACCAAATTTCTTTATTAAGAAGTTGAGTTTTTCAAACCAAATTTCTTTGTTACTAAACCATTTCCGTTTTGGTGGAACAAATTTGAATTTGCAGTCATTTCAGCAGTTTACTGGTATCAACACGGTCATGTACTACAGCCCAACGATTGTTCAGATGGCTGGCTTCAGTTCCAATCAGTTAGCACTTCTACTGTCCCTCATTGTTGCAGCAGTGAATGCTGCAGGTACAATTGTTGGAATTTACCTCATTGACTATGTTGGTCGTCGAAAGTTGGCCCTCAGTAGCCTATGTGGTGTAATTGTGTCTCTAATCCTTCTTGCTGCGGCATTCTTCCTGGAATCATCTGGTTCTACGAATGGAATATATGGGTGGATTGCAGTTTTAGGCTTAGCCCTTTATATTGCTTTCTTTGCACCTGGAATGGGGCCTGTACCATGGACAGTGAACTCAGAGATATATCCCGAGTCATATCGGGGAATTTGTGGAGGCATGTCAGCTACTGTGAACTGGGTATCAAATCTCATTGTTGCCCAGAGTTTTCTTTCACTTGCTGAAGCTGTGGGAACTGGTTTAACTTTCTTGATACTAGCTGGTGTGGCTGTGGTTGCATTTGTGTTTGTGACTATGTATGTGCCAGAGACGAAGGGTTTGACATTTGAAGAAGTCGAGAGGATCTGGAAGGAGAGAGCTTGGGGTAGTGGGTATGGCAGAGAAGCCCTACTTGAACCAGGAAATCAACCGTAAAGGTTATTACATTTTTTTTTTCGTCGTTGTCAGTATTTTATCTAATCGTTTTCGAGCAATGCGAATCTTCCTGCATATATTAAGGCATGAAGATTATGAGCCTATGACTTTACTGAATTTTAGCAATTACGGCAACACATTAGTAGCAGAATTTTTAGGCCAGGTGACCCGAAGACATGATTGGTCTGGGATTTTGCTAGCATTTGCTGTGTAGGAAGATGAACTTCTTTATATGAAATTATAATTAAGCACAAGGGATTTTTCATGTGATTATAAATAATTTTGCCGGTGGATGTTTTTAGGCACATAATGCTTGATGTATTAAGAACTTCGATGTGCTTTTCTACTAGCTTATGTGTGGAAGTGCAGGTTTGTGACTTGTTTTTATGTATCAGCCAACATGGCCTCTAAATTTCTATTGTGTTTCACTTTCTCTGAACATTAAAGAACATTGCTATGAACTCTTGGTGGAATAGGATCATACTACACTTTGTTCATGAGTTGGTACACATTTAGTTCCATCATTCATGTTTCACAAACAAGTAGTGTATCTAACCAATAGAGGTGGTTTAGTGGTTGAGCCTGATTTTTGGTAATTTAAAGTACTTAAGTTCAATCCGTTTTCACACTCTATAAGGGTTAGTCACTCTTTTTCCTTAGGAACATGCTCTATCTAGCTCATGTCACAGTGGTTGTCACTGAGCTCAAGAGAGTAATAGGCGCAAGTTTGGATACCTTATAGCAAAAAAAAAATAAAAATAAATGCTATTGTATCTCACAAAGATTCTGAAAAATTTAAGCTATATAGCAACCAAAAGAGATTGTCAGGAATATTGTATTTATATATGATCTAATATGTGTCTGATAGGGCTGTAACTTATAAATGGTTATACCTGTGGGTTGAAACCATATCCTAGGGCCCAGAATGTTGCCTTTTTTAACTTAATTCCCAAATTACAGTAGGTTTTTTTTTTTTTTTTAATGAAAGCTTAGGCTGAACTCACCTTGTTTAATGGGCAAACATGATTTCATGTTGGGTTTTTTTAATTTATCAAAAGTGTGTTTTTCAAGCACGTCTTCATTTATTTATTTATTTCTGTCTTTACATTGAAAAGTGAGTTTACACTTGATGAAAATTTATGTAGTTTGAGAAATAAGACCAAAACCACATTATATGGGGAATAAAGTCCAAAATTCCCTTTCTAGAATAAGAAAAAGCTCATGGAACTCGAGTATCTATGTTTAAATGTTGGATAAAAATTGGATGGAATCTACAAGTTCTTGATACATTGAAACATGTCTTGCAATCCTCCATCATGCAAGTGATACAAACCTATCTTCTTTCTTCACTTGCCCAAAGAAAAAAAAACCAATATTCTTTTTTTTTTTTTCTTCTTCTGTTGTTACATTATATTTTTTGTGTATTTTCCTAGCATAGCTATTAGCAGAACCCAATCACCATTAGTGGTGAAATAAAACTACCTATTAGTTCTATTTTTCTTGTTGAAAAACATGAAGGTTAGATAATTTGCCAGGAATCAAATAACATCACAAACACTGTGGTGGTATTCTTCCTATTTCGAAAACTCCATTCTGCTTTTTGGCAGCTAGCCCCAAGGTGTCTTAGAATAGAAAAACTAGATTAACTAGCCTTAGAACAAAACACTGTCAGTACAAGGAAAGGAGGACCCGGTTCTATCCTTTAAAACAAAAGGCCCACTTTTAACTTAGCTCCGAAAACACAAGGACATCTCTCCTTAGAAGAAAAAGGGGAAGACAAACGTGAAAGCAAAAGAACTACGGGAGATACAAGTACTAAACTGTGCATACTCAAGAGATAACATCTGCAACGTCTAACTAATCTGATCTACTAGCTAGTAATAGGGCTAATGGGAAAGCGGCATCTCTTATTGATTGAGTCATTTGTAAACTTCTATTAAGTACCAAAAATTTGAGCATGGATTCCAACATACATATGAGACAAAAGCAAGCTCAAATCTGTTAGAAGATTTTGGATGAACAAATTGATGAAAAACAAAACAAGTTACTAGAGATGTCACATGATACAACTATTAGGTAAGATTGTTGATTGACTTGTTTACTTGATTTCCCACCCATCATTAGTTAGCAAGTTTTGGTCCAAAGTCTTTGAATCAATTAATGATGAGTAGGCAAGTTAGATATTATCATATGCTTTCTCCACCTAGACACTAAATTTGATTAAGACTTGCCTTGTTCAATCAGACATGTATTTAATTGTAAAAGATATTTTCGCATTAATTATCTCTTCGCTTTCTTGGTAATTTATTACGGTCGTTAAAGGGACACGAAACCATTCAATACTTGGTTGATATTGACTTTTCAAAATATCACCTTAACAATTCGATATTACGCAACAATCAAAAACACCAAAAAAGAGTGTGTTGGCATAGTGGCAACGTACAATCTACTAAGAAGCATACATCAAGAATTAAACCAAATAATTCTCGCTAACTAATTAAATAAAAGAAAGAAGAAAAATGTTTGACTTCCTAGATGTGTTGAGCTCAGTGATTGCATATCAGCCATTAAGAAACTAGAGCTGTTTTTTAAATCCTATTGCCATCCCTAGATAATAAGAATAAGATAGAATTTAGGTAGCTATATTTGTGTCTTATTGAACACAAAAGGATAAAATGCACTTTGCCCCTTTAATTTTTTTCCAAAATGATTTATGTCTAACTTGTAAGGATACTAAGGGTAGTTTGTGCATGAAAAATACGGTGTAATGTGAATGATTTTGAGAGAAATGTTGGTGACTGTTGAATAAGTCTATTTAAAATTGTTGAATGTACTTACTGAAACCAACCTTATTCTATATTATAGATGTGCAAATAGTCATGAAATTTAAGATGTGGGGGACCATAGTTTGTAGTTGAAAACTGTAATTAACTCAACACAAAAGTTGTCAAACAAGATTGGCTATAATCAGTTCAGTTCAACCACTCTATATGTTCCATCTAATTCAGTTCAGCCACTATACGTATATCTATCTATCTATCTATCTAATATTATAATTAGGAACTTGAATCCTCAACTTATGAAAATATAACAATTCTTAAGATTGATTTAATTTTCATTTACTTTGATATAATGATAGAAAATTCATTCTAAATTTTTTTTCCCGGCTCAAAAACATTATTTTTTTTACACGGCCCCCAATGTCATAACAATCAATCCACACACTCTCCAATATCAATCATGTGACACCCCAAAATTCGGGGGTCCGTTGATTACTCATCAACCCGCGGAATGCCCGTAAATACCGAGTAACTCGATATCTCAATGTTATGCCCCATTTACCAGGGTCCATCATTTATTAAAAATTTGGGCAGAGTCTCCTTTGTAAGGAGAACTCTACTCAAAACACAACCTGTGCATTATATAATAACAAGACCCATCCGAAGTCCTATATTCAACAATGACCACACTGGATCCATTTATAAGTAAACATTGGCCACACCGGGTCCAATTATCCATATTCATACAAACATGCAAGATTATATTAAAACAGTCGATATTGATTCTATCACAATTCCTTTACACATTACATGCCAAAATTTAATTACAAGTCTAATTTTACAAAAGAAATTGATTGACAGCCACAAGTCGACTTTTCTTCCTCCTTAAGTGCCCAAGTAAGTGCCGTCCCTCAGTGTATGACCCGTACCTGAAATGTTTCTCGTATAGGGTGAGTCAACGCCCAGTAGAGAAAAACTCCTACTAGGGCTACTCCCCACCTTAAATGCATATGCGATGTGTATAAGCAACATTTAACATTTAACAACCATTCATACAAGAATATGTATTCAATGTTGAAATGCAACCATGTCATGCTATGAAATAAGATGATACTCACTCATGCACTTAAACCCAAGTCCTCACTGACTTCCACAACACAATGCAATACTAATGTGTAATGACCCGTTTTTGACGAAAATACATCCAATGATCGCTTTGAATAAAAAATCATGCGTTTTATAAATCAGATCATTATTGAATGGTACTCATTAAATGAGTATTTTCTTATAAATCAAAATCTTGTGTCTTGTTGGGTAACGGATTTTGGATTTTATACCGCCGGTTCCGTATACCATACTACACTTTTTCGGAATTTCACCACAGAGGAGTGTATAACCAAGTCGCCGGGTCTTGCACTCGAGGGAGAGTCTAGCCCTACTTGCTATACCCGACACAAGTTTTCTTCCATGCGACTCAAAGGGGATCTTCGATCCACTTTTTTTCGAACCCACATACCAACCACCAAACAAGGTGTTTGATCAACCACGCATCTCACACACCCATACTCATGACTTATGCCCATGCATGTGATGCGTCTATGCATAATAATACAATGTTCAATATGCTATGAATGACATATGAACAATCTCAACATATCATGATGAGTTATGTTCTAAGCATATAGATATCATATTTGTCACAAATTCAATATATCATAACATGCATATACCAACAATTGTATTTCCAATCATAAATCATGTCATAAGTCCATAATTTCACTTTCATAATCATAGGCAAGTGATATCACAACTTTTAGGTTAATAACACACCTAATCATTAAGGCATAATATAATACATAATGGCCCATGTAATAGCCCACGTAACGAATTTTATCTAAACCACAAAATAGCCCATACAAACCACCATATAACAGCCCGTATATAGCCCACAAAATAGCCTAAAAATAATCAGCAAAAACAGTCCAAAAATAGTCACAATTTCAGTCCATAACATGGCCTAAAAATAGTCCATAATTCAGCCCTTTAACAGCCCCTTAAACAACCCAAATTCAGCCCCTTAACAGTTCCTAATTAGTGCACAAAATAGCCCCTAATTAGTGCACAAAACAACCCTTAATTAGTGCACAAAACAACCCCAATTTCAGCACCAAAACAGTCCATTTGGACAGCCCACATATAAACCAATTTCAGCCACTAAAA